CCCTTCTTTCACTATTGCTCTCAAGATTATTTTTATTCATTTCTTTGATTCACTAATTTGAAGATTCATACCTCATCAGTTCAAAAAATTTAAATCTACCTAACCCTTCAGTTTAAAACCTTTTCATGTCCAACCCCTTGCAGCTTTAATCCTTTTCAATTCAAAAAATATAAAGCTACCCATCCCTTTAGTTCAAAACCCATTCATGCCAAACCCTTTGAACCTCCATGCCCAGTTTGCTCAATGCCTCTACAGCTCCCATCTTCTTCAGCTGAAAACCTATTCATGTCCAACCCCTTGCATGTCCAAACCTTGTCAGTTGAGAACATTCAAAGCTACCCATTCCTCCAGTTAAAAACCTTCTCATGTCCAACCCCTTGCAGCTCCAAACCTCATGAGTTCAAAAAATTTGAAGCTACCTTTCCCTTGAGTTCAAAACAGATTCACGTCCAGCCCCTTTCAGCTCCAGACCTCATCAGTTCAAGGAATGCAAAGCTACCTATCCATTCAGTTCCAAGCCTATTCATGTCCAACCCCTAGCAGCTCCAAACCTCATGAGTTCAAAAATATATAGCTATCCATCCCTTCAGTTCAAAACCTATCTATGTCCAACCGCTTGCAGCTCCAAACCTCATTAGTTAAAAATTTCAAACCTACATACCCCTTCAGTTCAAACCCCATTCATGTCCAACCCCTTGCAGCTACAAACCTTTTCAACTCAAAAAATATTAAGCTATCTATCCCTTCAGTGCAAAACCTTCTCATGTCCAACCCCTTGCAGCTCCAAACTGCATGAGTTCAAGAAATTCAAAGCTACCTATCCCTTCAGTTCAAGACCTATGCATGTCCATCCCCTTGCAGCTCATACCTCACCTATCCCCTCAGTTGAAACCCTATTCATTTCCAGCCCTTTGCAGCTCCAGTCATCATTAGTTCAAAAAATTTAAAGCTACCTATCACTTTTGTTCAAAACCTATTCATGTCCAACCCCTTGCAGCTCCAAACATCATTAGTTCAAAAAATTCAAAGATACCCATCCCTTCAGTTCAAAACCTATTCATGTTCAGCCTCTTTCAGTGCCAGAACTCATATAATGTAATGATCTCAGATGATCCACTCCAGCAATTCCAAATTGCTTCTTTGCGCAAAACTGAGTCTACATACCATTCTGGTTCGAACTGGCCACTCAAACCGGGATGCGTTCCCAGGGAACCCTTCTTTCACCATTCCTCTCAAGAATATTTTCATTCATTTCTTTGATTCACTAACCAAATCATGACCTTTTCATGTCCAACCCCTTGCAGCTTTAATCCTATTCAATTCAAAAATTTTAAAGCTATCCAACCCTCCTGTTCAAAACCTATTCAAGTCAAACCCCTTGCAGCTCAATGCCCAGGTAGATCAATGCCTCTACTGCTGCCATCTTCTTCAGCTAAAAACCTGTTCATGTCCAGCCCGTTGCAGCTCCAAACCTTGTCAGTTGGAAACATTTAAAGCTACTCATGCTTTCAGTTCAAACCCTATTGATGTCTAACCCCTTGCAGCTCAAACCTCATCAGTTCAAAATATATGAAGCTACCCATCCCTTCAGTTCAAAACCTATTCATATCAAACCCCTTGCAGCTCCAAACCTCATCAGTCCAAAAAATTTACAGCTACGTATCCCTTTACTTTGAAACCTATCAATGTCCAACACCTTGCCCCTCCATGCCCTGTTTGCTCAAAACCTCTACACCTCCCATCTTCTTCAGCTGAAAACCTATTCTTGTCCAACCCCTTGCACCTCCAAACCTTTTCAGTTGAAAACATTTAAAGCTACCCTCCCCTTCTGTTCAAAACCTTTTCACGTCCCACCCCTTGCAGCTCCAAACTGCAAGAATTCAAAAAATTCAAAGCTACCTATCCCTTCAGTTCAAAACCTATTCATGTTCAGCCTCTTTCAGTTCCAGACCTCATATAATATAATGATCTCAGGTGATCCACTCCAGCAATTCCAAATCACTTTTGCTCTTTTGTGCACAACTGTGTCTGCATACCATTCTGGTTTGAATTGGCCACTCAAACCAGGATGGGTTCCCAGGGAACCCTTCTTTCACTATTGCTCTCAAGATTATTTTTATTCATTTCTTTGATTCACTAATTTGAAGATTCATACCTCATCAGTTCAAAAAATTTAAATCTACCTAACCCTTCAGTTTAAAACCTTTTCATGTCCAACCCCTTGCAGCTTTAATCCTTTTCAATTCAAAAAATATAAAGCTACCCATCCCTTTAGTTCAAAACCCATTCATGCCAAACCCTTTGAACCTCCATGCCCAGTTTGCTCAATGCCTCTACAGCTCCCATCTTCTTCAGCTGAAAACCTATTCATGTCCAACCCCTTGCATGTCCAAACCTTGTCAGTTGAGAACATTCAAAGCTACCCATTCCTCCAGTTAAAAACCTTCTCATGTCCAACCCCTTGCAGCTCCAAACCTCATGAGTTCAAAAAATTTGAAGCTACCTTTCCCTTGAGTTCAAAACAGATTCACGTCCAGCCCCTTTCAGCTCCAGACCTCATCAGTTCAAGGAATGTAAAGCTACCCATCCATTCAGTTCCAAGCCTATTCATGTCCAACCCCTAGCAGCTCCAAACCTCATGAGTTGAAAAATATAACGCTACCCATCCCTCCAGTTCAAAACCTATTTATGTCCAACCCCTTGCAGCTCCAAACCTCATTAGTTAAAAAAAATTCAAAGCAACATACCCCTTCAGTTCAAACCCCATTCATGTCCAACCCCTTGCAGCTAATGTAAATCTACCTATCCCTTCAGTTCAACCCTTTTCAAGTCAAATCCCTTTCAGCTCCAAACCTTTTCAGTTGTAAACATTTAAAGCTACCCATTCCTTCAGTTCAAAACCTTTTCATCTCCGACCCCTCGCAGCTCCAAACCTCATGAGTTCAAAAAATTTAAAGCTACCTATCCCTTCAGATCAAGACCTTGCAGCTCAGCACCTAATGAGTTCATTACTAGCACCTAATGAGTTCATGAGTTACAATTTTTTGTATTGAAAAAGTTTGTAGCTGCAAGGGGTTGGACATGAATAGGGTTTGAACTGAAGGGATAGGTAGCGTTGAATTTTTTGAATACAAAAAATTTAAAGCTACCCATCCCTTCAGTTCAAAACCTATTCATGTCCAGCCCCTTGCAGCTCCAGTCCTCATGAGTTCAAATTTTAAGCTACCTATCCATTCAGTGCAAAACCTTTTCATGTCCCACCCGTTTCAGCTACAAACTGCAAGAATTCAAAAAATTCAAACCTACCTATCTCTTCAGTTCAAAACCTATTCATGTCTAGCCCCTGGCAGCTCCAGTCCTCATTAGTTCAAAAAATTTAAAGCTACCTATCCCTTTGGTTCAAAACCTATTCATGTCCAACCCCTTGCAGCTCCAAACATCATTAGTTCAATAAATGCAAAGCTACATATCCCTTCAGTTCAAACCCTATTCATGTCCAACCCCTTGCAGCAAATGTAAATGTACCTTTCCCTTCAGTACAAACCCTTTCATATCCAACCTTTGCAGCTCCAAACCTCATCAATTCAAAAAATTTAAAGGTACCAATCCCCTCACTTTAAAACCTTTTCATGTCCAACCCCTTGCAGCTCCAAACCTCATGAGTTCAAAAAAGTTAAAACTACCTATCCCTCTGGTTCAAAACCTATTCATGGCCAGCCCATTGCAGCTCCAGTCCTGATCAGTTCAAAAAAATCAAAGCTACCTATTCCTTCAGTTCAAACCCTATTCATGTCCAACCCCTTGCAGCTGCAAATCTTATCAATTCAAAAAATTCAAAAGTACCCCTCCCTGCAGTTCAAAACCTCTTCATGTCTAACCCCTTGCAGCTCCAAACTGCATGAGTTCAAAAAATTTAAAGCTTCCCATCCTTTCAGTTAAGAACCTAATCAAGTCAAACCCCTTGCAGCTCCATGCCCATTCAGCTCAATACTTCTACAGCCCCCATCTTCTTCCGCTGAAAACCTATTCATGTTCAACCCCTTGCAGCTACAAACCTGCTCAATTCAAAAAATTTAAAGCTACCTATCCCTTCAGTTCAAAACCTGTTCATTTCCAGCCCCTTGCAACTCCAGTCCTCATCAGTTCAAAAAATTTAAAGCTATCTATTCCTTCAGTTCAAAACCTTTCCATGTCCAACCCTTTGCAGCTCCAAGCCTCATCAGTCCAAGAAATTTAAAGCTACCTATCCCTTCAGTTCCACTCCACAAATTTGTGAAATATACCATCTTAAAATAGTGTGTCCTCAAGCCCCTCGGTTTCAGCCCAACCAAATTCGTGTACCTTTTATTTCCTAACTTTAACTTACCTTCAGATCTCTGCAACACACACTGTACTTTATGGTGCATGGTACTTGAGTAAATAAGGTACTTCTATATTTCATCTTGCAGTGGTGCCCAGATAAAGGTTGACACAAACCTTAACACAAAATAAATTATAATGAGATCTTATTTGACAGAATTCAAGTATATTTTTTCAGGTGGCCTCAATGTATGTCTGGGAAGAGTGTGAGGAGATCCTGTGTCTTGTGGCACCCCCTCTTGATCCGGATACCAAGATCCTGAACAATGCGGCCATTCTTGCTTATCCGTTTTTGCGATTGAAGCAAAGGCTTTTGTTCTCAACACAATCCAGCAGCATTCAAGCCCCCTCAGAAACCTTGACCAACATGTTTTACTCACCACTTAGTGGGGACATATATCTCACTGCCAATTGTCCGGATGGCTCATTTCTGTTCCTGTATTCTGGACCTGTTGATGGTGAGGAAAGTTTTTTGGATTTTGCCAAGCACAAGAACAGTTCGAATTTGCAAAGCCGTCGTCAGAGTTGAGCGTCTCCAAGGAATCCGTCTCCAGTGCCCTCTTCCTCATTCAGTAGGTGTCGCTAATGAGGAGAGCAAATGAGCCTTGTCTTTATGCCTACTTTGGAATGATAAAAGTTGGCTCCATGCATGTACCCTACTTTTTAAGGTAATCCCAAAACTTTTGTCCAGAGTCTCTGGCAACTCTGGCCTAAGATTAGTTGTTCAATTTACTCACTGCTAGCACCACGCTGACCATCACATCTCCTACCACCTTTCACATTTTTTTCGACATTCAAGTATAGGTTTTGCTCGAATTGTATCATCGTTTGTTCAAATGTGATACTTCTGCCACGTTCTCCAGTGCTTCATTTCCTTGTCTTCTGTGATCACTCACATGGATGGAAAAAAAACACTTCCCTCTATGTTATTAAAGGGTAAAGTAAAGTGATTTCATGTGAAGATGAAGATGTTAAGTTTCGTATATCAGTTATTCATGCTTCGCTATCTTGACTATCCCAACTTATTCAAATAAGTTAAGATAGTCATTCAGGTTGGGGAGGTTGTGATGTCTTACAACTTACAGGAGTCTCAACTCTACAGGATTTCCTTATGGAACCGTTATTTGTGGGTAGATGAAACATCTTGCGTAGATATATCTACCAGAAATGCTATGAATGAAAAGGTGAGGAATTTCCTGGGTAAGAGGTGTTCGATTATTGTCTGTTATTGTGTCTCGAAAACTGGTCTTGATGTTTATCGCTCATCCACAGAATTCCGGGTACATTACTGCAGTGGAGTCTTGTTTTTCGGAGCGTTGCGTTATTCCGTTTGCTGGTGACTTCTGTTCCTTGTGAAAGACTAAGATTCCCATCTTATTTCGTGTTGATCTGCAGTGGACTAAAGTATTGTCTAAAATTCAAAGATCCGATGCTGTACTTCACGTTCTCTTTCGAAAACGAAAGTTTGTAGATGGAAAGTGAAAATCTCATTTTGCGAAGGATGCCATCCATGTGAATCCTCATCGAAGTGCTAATCGGGCATCACAGTGAGAAAATTGTGCGTGCGTAAATGTTTTCAGTGTTTTTGTTCATTCAAAATGTATTTAATTGAACTGAGCTGCGACTGAAGACTCGATCTAGCGCTGACGCGTAAGAACGTGATTGTATATAGATCAGATATTGAGAATTGGTTTGAAATTTTCTGTACCTTCCTCTTTCGTGTAGTAGGATTTATCGAGGCAATTTTGTGTACCAGCTATTGTTCCACATTTATCTCGTGCTTCAGGCCTACATAGAACCCTTGAGGGAACAAAGGGATCATGGGTAAGTCCTTCTCCTTTCCCTTATTTTTTTTAATGGAGCTACTACCGTCTGGATGCGACGATCACTCATAACAAAAAAGGAAATGCCAAGGCCTTACATATGTCTGAAATATTTTTTTAAAATGTCGTTTCAAATGCACGCGACATCTTCGAAATCACATGCATATGTTCTTGCAACTGACAATTTGGAAGTTTTTCTTTCAACTTCCACGTAACTGTCCAAGTTCTTTGTCTATTCCGGAAAAATTGTCCCATATGCCTTACAACTCCATGATCCACGTTTGAATACATTCCTTTTTAATGAATAATGATACTTGGATTTTTTTGCTACTGCTCAGGGGATATGGATTCTGCATAATAAATGTAGTGTATATTTCGTAATTTTCATTTCGTATTCATTGCATCTTGACCCCAGCTAGATTTCATTCTTCCGTCATTTTCTTTGGGGTGACTGCAGGGGCATCTTGGAAGTTTGAAAGCATTTTGAACACAAATTGAAATTTTTATAATGCTTCCGAAATTCAGAACATGAAGTTGCAACTGGAAACATTCAGCTCCAAGGCCATCAAAAACAGGTTACGATGTGGGGGAAAATCTCGGCCAATGAGCATGGGGAACAAAATGATCCAGACCAGAAATTAGGAAAAGCGCGCCACTAAGGGTTTCAGAAAGTTGGCGGTTGGGACAGGGGATGTCACTTGGCCTTCTGAATCGGGAGGAATCGGTCGTGTCCGTATGGGAAGGGAATTCTAGTGCGCGATTTAAATAGTTGCATGAATAGTTTTGGGAACAGTTTCTGTGACTTATTGAACTTATTGTTGTCTCTAATGAATATGGTTGTTTGGATCGTATTTTTGTAAACCTTTATGAGTAGCAGAAATAAAGCACTAATTAAGATTCAGCCCTTATATCTAAAGAGGGCGTCTCTAGGTGGAATCTTCCGTATTTCAGGGTCCCATCCACCATACTGTGGTTGCAAAACTGGACCTTGATTTACTCCATCCGCAGTTTTCAGATATTAGTTGATTTTAGCATCTGACATGAATTGTCCGTTTCCATTGGTGATACAGTGAGACCATGAGATGTGGACATACATGGTGCATCAAGATTGTCCCTAAGTTGAGTCTCATTTTCCCTTAGACTTACATTATATAATTTTTAATTGGCGTTTTCTGTACAAAATACTCAGGGTTTCAGAAAAGGATTCCATGAAAATAAAAATTGTCTCCCAATTTAAACTGAATTCAATTGATGGAATTCAATTCCCCAAATGCCCATACGAGGGTTCTAACAAAAGTTCTTGGAGTCGACCACAAGCCATCACCGGAGATGGATGATCTTTTTTTTATTGGATTCCTGATCCTTTTTTAACCTAGAATCAATTTTTTCATCCCTAGACAAAAAATGGAACCTGGGAAAAAATTGAATGAGTTTTTTCTGGTGCTGTGCCCACCCATTCAAACAGAAGTTCTTGGAATGAAAATGAAAAAAAAACTTTTGGGTAAAAAAAATTTCTTATTGACAAAAAACACTTTCCCTTGAAGCCCTTCTTTCACAGTTGGATACAACCAAAAATCTCAGGGAGCAAGATCAGGGGAGTAAGAAGGAAGAGTAAAATGCTGAATGCCCAAATTTTAAATGAAATCAAGAGTTTTCAAAGCAGTGTGTGCAGGAGCATGCATGTGCGCAACTGCTATTTGGTCATGGGTGGGCACTTCATTGGATACGACTCATTCAAGTTTTTATCTTGCATTTCCATTTTTGTCTCGGAATGAAAAAAAAAAGATTCTAGGCCAGAAAAGGATGAGGAATCCTATTAAAAAATCCACGTCCATCTCTGGTGATGGTTTGTGGTTGATTCCAAGAACTTCTGTTAGAATGGGTGGGCACATCACCAGAATAAACTCATTCAATTTTTTCCCCCAGTTTCCATTTTTGTCTAGGGATGACAAAAAATGGTTCTAGGTTAAAAAAGGATGAGGAATCCAAAGAAAAATGTTCATCCACCTAGGTGATGGCTTGTGGTTGACTCCAAGAACTTTTGTTAGAACCCTGGTATTGTGTTGAAATATACCTCTCTACAGTACATCCCAAGGAAAGGAAGTCCCTTTCTGCTGTATGTGATTTTTTTTAAATGGCTAAATGGATGGTAAATTGGAGAGGGAAATGCCCCAGAACTTTTCTTACATCAATTTTACGGTTGGAAATATCCATTTCTTGTAATTTGGCCTGAAATGTATTTGCAATTTTATAGCAAAATGGCCCTATCTTGAGTCAGTGTCCTCATGTTTGGCCTATTTTATTGATTTTTTTATGGGAAAAAAGTGTCCCTATGTTGAATTGTCTGCAGGTCAAGGTGTCTGCATGTATGGGTCTCACTGTATTACAATGGCAATCCTTTTAAATCTGAATGCGTTTTTGTGTTTGTAATGCCTACCTTCCAGACCAGTGTCCAGCCAGTTTCCTGTCTGTACCCCATGTTCCTGGAAATCCCAGACCTTCCTCTCCTTCTGCTGATCGGTAAGCATTCTGTTGCTGTACTCCAGTTTCATGCCATACTTACTGTTGGACTGAGTCATTGTATATGCACCTGTAATATCCATCAGTTCACACTTCTGTGTATGGATGGGATACAAACATGAATGAAGCCCAGCTTTGTTCACTCCAAAATTTCTGAAATGTTCTAAACCAATTGATAGTTTTTTTATGCTGGAAATGAAGGTGCATGGACCCTCTGCAACAGAATTCAAGGGACCAGGAATTCTTTTCAGATAATTACCTTTCTATATATAGAGAACCCTTGTACCTTGGGGAGAGAATAATACGGGCCCAAAATAGCAAATTGTTTTTTAGAAAAAATTGTGCTAGAGGTAGGTTTGTTGTAGTGTGAATGCACGTGTACAGTATTTGATTCTTGGGATTATTGAGTTGAGAATTAAAAACAAGCAGAGTGTAAATCAGAAGACGGAAATGCTTGATGAATCATTAACTTCTTATCCACCATCTATATATTCGCTTGAATTGATCATTCAGAGGAGTTAGTTTGAATGATATCTGGGTCCATAAGCGGTTCATGTCCTAGCTGTTCTGAATGCTAGCATGCAAAAATTGTTCTAATTGAAATATTCCAGTTTGGTGCCAAGCCGACTGAACACCACTGAAGGTTATTCAGCAGGAAATCCATCTTCAGGATTCAATCATGTGGGATCAGAAATGTCCAAGAAATGCCTGGAAATGTCTGTGAAACTCGGAGAAGCCTTGGGTTTGGAGCCACCAACAAGGCCCATTCTCAAGTTTTCGCCGCAGCGTTCGCCAAAACGTGAGCATATTTTTCATGAGGCATCATGCATCAGCCTAAATGTTACTCAAGAATCTTGGAAAACTTGACGAATGATAACTGCTTCTAGAGGTAATCCGTGAAGTATCTTGCATGAACTGTTTCTTCAACGCTCGAAAACCTTGAAGAGGAGCCCAGACTCGGCTTATTTTGGAATATTAATTCAAATGCATTCATAGTAACCTTTTTGCAATGTTATCCATTGCATTTAAAAGATTTTCAGATATCTTCACAAAGTTTTGAACAACATGATTTCTGCTAATTTTCTTGGTGTCCATATGTCTTGAGGCACACTGTCCAGATTTTGGGGCAGATTTTTCAGATCCATGTGTCCCGAAGTCAAATTTTCTGCATTTCAGTGCATCCTACATTTTTGGGTCTCAGTGTAGTTCAGCTGTCCAAATGTAACCTTTCTCTGAGTCTATAATTCTAGTCATACATTCGAGTTCATTATTTTTACCTGATCCATTGTTAGCAGTTGGAATGTGATGCTGAAATCTGCTCATAGAGCAATGTCTCATTGATGTTTGATAAAAATTAATGATAATTTCATTCAACGTTTTTGTTTCATGTGTTGCGCATGCCTGAATAGAACATTGTTGGGCTCCAATTTCATCAGAAATTTTGATGCACGTAATTAATGAAGAAATTCAGGACTCTGCTACCTATTTTGAAGGTATGGGAAAAACATTTTTGCCAACACAAATTAATTCTTTGATATTTTTCGAAGCAAAAATACGATGTTCTCTGTACTCCTGTTTCAGCCACCCGAAAGGAATGGCTGAATGCATTAAGCCCTTCGGGACATACTCAGCAAGAGGAACCAGTGGTGGTGAATTTTCAACGTGCTATGGAAGCATATGAAGGTAATCAAATGCTTTTGACTGGATGAATGGGGAATATTATATCTGAAGAAAAATTGAGTTGTTAAAACTTGACTGCGCTGTGGAGCTTCTGACGTGTACATTGATTCAATTTTGTTTCCTTCATGGTAATTTTGAAAATGTCATCAGAGAATCGCAGAACTGTGCTGAAATACTATTTTCCTCTGCAGTTTCCGATAAAAAAATGTAAAGAATTCATCCTTCATCGAATTAAATGAATTCTTTATTCCACCTAGTTCAGTATCATTTTGATCTACTGGAATTCATTGTTTCGAATATTTTTCCATTTGTAGAAGGGCGTCTGGATTATGATGAAACATAGTGCAATTACAAAGATGTGTTTGGTTTTCATCAGGAATCACCACATTTCCATTAGCGTTTTGTTGCATGACCAAAACATAACCTGAGCCAGATCCAATGATCTTTGTATTTGATTTAAATCAACATGAAAAATCTTTTTTCTCCTTGCTTGTATTCACTTTTTTTTATCGCTGTGAAGCAAATGTAGCAGTCTTAACAGAGCGGGCGGTGTTCTGATTTTAGAAATTTCAGGCCAAGCACATCAACCTAGTGGGAATATTTGAAAATTAATTCACCAGAAGGGCAGGAAAAACGTATCTGAGTGGGTGGAAGTTTCACTGGATCTTTTATTCGATGACTATCATTTAACAGGATCTTTCTGAGGTTATAATTAAAACGTCAAGTGATCGTAGCTATTCAAAATAAATTTGATAGGATACAGGCGAATTTTGTTATGGCACAGAGGTTGAAGACCCCTGGTGTAGGATAATACTGCGCGGTATATTATGTATAAGTACAACATTGTCCTCTTGGGTATTTTTGCAAAATTTTCTACAACTTTTTTAGGTAGATAATATGGATTTATTCTCCAAAATCCATGCAAACTTGTTGGTATTTTTTGCTCGATTTTTTCGTGTAATTAATACCTGGGGAATTTCCAACTCATACAAAACGACCCATTCGAAGGTGATGTAAGTGAATGAATTGAAGGCTTGAAATCTTCCCTGGATTTTCTCAACAGCAAAATTTTGTGATTGGGACCCTATTCGTCCACATCGCTTCTCCGGACTGAGCAAGAATGGTCGCTGGGTGTTCGTTTCCAGTGTGGCACCGTCAAACCTTGACGCGGAGTGGTTTCCGAATGCTGGAGAAGGGAATAAAGGCAAATTACTGGACTTGAAGTACTTAACTGATGGTGAGCAGAAAAGGACAGGAACTAGTCATATTCGAACCCTCGTGGGCACATGATGAAGATGGTATTACCCCGATGATCATTTTTAACGCGGGATGGGAAGATTCTTTCAACTTCATCTAGGTCCCTATATATTGGTTTGTCCAGAAATGTGGCTTTCAATAATGAACATTTTGCACCTTGACTCGGACATGAGATGAGCAATGCAGTATTTGAATTTTTTGGCATGTCATTGCGTTGAAAAAAATCACCGCGAGGACAACAAAAAATATTACCTTGCGGAGTTTTCTGCATTTTTATCTATATTTTATTGGAGTACTGTATTGTATTCTGAACGGAGAGCATCCTGGAAAAGTCCAGTGCTTACCAGGATTCAGGCGGGTTTAAAGGGTGACTAAATACGCACTGTATACTGTACTACAGCATCACAGTCAATCCCAGATAAGCCAACACCCTCGGCAACCGCGAATTTATTTTTGAAAATAAATGATCCTTTATGATAAAAGCGTTGGAAACCCCTTTGGAACGGCATCTGCAGAAATCATTTCATTCAAATATGCTCCTACCAATAATTTTTGCCTTTGATAGACTGCAAACAATATTTGAATTTCTAAGAGAGATTTCCTGACTGAAAGTAAAAACATCACATTATTTAATTTTTGGGAACATTAGGTAGAAGTACAGCAAGATGAATGTACCCCTTGAATTTTCCTTGTGGACATAATTGGTGCATCAAGAGTGTCCCTAAGTTGAGTCTTGTTTCCCATAGATGTACATGATATAATTTTTAATTGGTGTTGTATGGAACAAATATTCTTCAGAATTCCATGAAAAAAATTTTTTGCCACTTGAATTTGATTCAGTAAAGATCTTTTCAGCCCAATAAGAACATTTGGAGCATTGTACTGTATAGTATACCACTGTGAAGTTCATTGAAATGTTGGCATCTTTAAAAATAACATCCAAGTAAAAAAAAAAAGGAACTCCCTCTGTGCTATAGGTAATTTTTTTAATTAGCTGAGTGGATGGGAAAGTGAGGGGAGAAGTACCAAAGAATTTTACTCACATAGATCTTAGGGTTGGAAATATCTGTATCTTGCAATTAAGCCTAATAAAAGCAAATTTTTCTAAAATGTATTGGCAATTTTATCATGCAATGTCCTCATGTTGAGGCAGTGTCTGTATGTCAGGCCTTTTTAATGATTTTTTATTGAAAAATAAATGTCCCTTTGTTGAATTGTCCCCATGTTGAGGTGTTTGCATGTGGGGGTCTCACTGTAATTTGAGCATCCCAGATTGCTCAGAAGAACAGGAGTTTTATTACTGCTTTTGTTTGATCCTTCTTTGAGCTTTTTTGAGAAATTACCAACCACCTTTGAACTACCAACCCCTTCAACTGCCAACAAAAGTTGGTGGCAGGTTTAAGAAGATCGACTGCAATGAAGATTCCTGTTTTATGAAGGAAGCGCTTTGGTCGGTTTCGACGTCTGCAATGGGAGTTTGGCCAAATTCGATCTAGAGCGAAAAACCAGATCAAGTGTGGGAGTCTTGGAAGGCTTTATGGGATGCAAAGATGTGGTGGTGTGCCCGCATCCCTCCAATGGACAGCTAATCGCATGGTGTGTTCTGCTCTTACAGTATTTTTCTCAGGAATGATCTGTGTGGAAGACCCTTTGTTGAAACTCTTACATTGTACAAAGACGGGGGTTCTTCTCTGGACTTTCAGGTCCTGTCACAGGGTTTTTTGCGGAAGGCATGAAAAGTACTTCCTGCTGCAGCTGCTGTCCGCAATTTAAATTTTTCTTGCGGCCATGTTAATTCTGAATGTACTGAATGTCTTTTCTTTCTCTTTATTAAAATTTGAATATACACCATACATGTGACGCAAACCTTGATCCTTCAAGGGGGCTCATGGGAGGTAAATTGTATATTTTCTTTCCATTGTATCCTGGAAAATGCAAATAAGGTTCTTCTGAATAAAGGAAGCATTTGCGTTGAAAATGCAATGAAAAGAATAGAAAAACAAAGATTTTCGATGTCAAAAATTGTGCAAATGCTTCTATGAAACTTTCAAATTTCAGTTTGTAGCAGGAAAAAGTCGCAAAAGTTCGTGGTTAATGGACTGTATGATCACAAGAGGTTTTATCTGACAGAAAACCGTGAATTTTTAGAAAAACATCGGACGATTTTGAATAAGTTGTCTGAAATCCTAACATTTTAAATCCATCAAAATGTATGCTTGTGCGCAGATTTTTCGTAGAAGATGTAAATCTCTTCCGAAGAATAAAGAGAAAAACTTTTCTTACATGTTTTGCTGAACGCATTGATTGACAATGGTACCAGCTGCAAATCCCATTCAGAAATAACGCAGAAATTTGAATCCCATGGAAAATTCCCATTTGAAAGTTTAATAAATTGCCCTCCTCTGTATCCTGATTCAAATGTAGGGAAAGAAACCAAGAACAGGGATGGGATAATGTCAGCAGTTGGGTTCTGATACTTTATGAAGTTCCAAACTCTAAAGTTCATCTGTTGTCTGTATCTGTACGTATCCTGATGGTTCTTATGCCGTTTAATTTTGATTTAAGGCTATTGATGAGCAGTGTTTTGCAGGCGATTAATTTGTGAAGTGAGAAGTGCCTCGGTCTGGTTATGTTAGTTGTTAGCAACAGGGTTGGGGCAAGTCTATACCAACGGATTACAGTACTGTACTGTACTCACCTCTTAATTGAGTATCGATTCAGCGCTTGAAAAATGCGAGCTTTCCATAGCATACTCTCTGAAATACTTGGAACACAGAGCGGAATACTGTACTTTTTCATTTCATCTTGCAGTGGTGCCGAAAAAAACGTTGCAGGGAAATTGACCTGCAAGCTTTATCTGCTGGACCTGAGGAGCGCCAAACCTGCGATTATTGTCCAGGAGGAGTCAAAGCTGAATTATGCGACTTGTTCGCGAAAGAATGCGAAAGCCTTCATGGGATTCTCTGATGAAATGGAAACAGGGCTCGTGTCACCAACGGAAGAAGTTCTGAAGATGTTTGACTTCCGCGTCCCAACTAGAAGATCACAAACTATCGTACATGGCATGGGTCGCATCACGGGAGTCAAGTTTCTCCGTGGAATCATGACCTGCAATTCACTCTTGAGCAGTGCTGGAGGTGTTTCCCTGTTTAATCTATCTTCGGGGGAGAAGTTGAAAACTTTTGAATCTCCCCACCTGGTATGCTCTGATTTTATCCTCGATGGACTTTTCTAAAAGTTATACGAATTCTAAAAGGAGCTCGAAAAAGTATTCAGGGCATTCAATTTTTGATTATTATCACTCTTATGCAGTAAAATATTGTTACAAATAGAGAGGTATAAATACAGTGAGACCCCCAGATGCGGACACAATTGGTGCATCAAGAGTGTCCCTGTGTTGGATTGTCCCCAAGTCAAATCTTGTTTTCCCATAGACTTACATTGTATAATTTTTAATTGGTGTTTTATGGAAGAAATATTCTTCAGAATTTCATGAAAAAAAATTTTGCCACTTGAATTTGATTCAATGAATATCTTTTCAAACCAATAAGAACATTTGGAACATTGAGTAGTTTACCTCTGTACAGTAAATTGAAAAGTTGGCATCTGGAAAGATAACATCCATGTCACAAATAGAGCTAGAAGGAAGACCCTCTATGCTATAGGGCATTTTTTAAATTAGCTTAATGGATGGGAAAATAATGGGAAAAGTACCGAAGAATCATTTCTTGCATAGATCTTAGGTTGGAAGCATCTGTTTCTTGCAATTTAGCCTTATAAAAATCAGTTTTCCTAAAATTTATTTTGGAATTTTATCCTCCAATGTCCCCAGGTTGAGTCAGTGTCCTCATGTTGGGTCTTTTTTATGATTTTTTTTGTTTAAAAATAAATGTCCCCATGTCAAGGCATCCGCATGTGGTGGTCTCACTGTATTTGGCTGGACACAGGTCAATTCTGTACAAAATAGTACCCAGCAAATACTTGAGCTCGAAATCCTAGGGACCTGATGAAAATTCATTATGCTGCAATGAACAAGTTGTTGAACTGAGGTTCATGGTTTCCAACACATTTTAAGCTGAAATGTGTTGGGAAATTGGTGATAAACACTGAAGTGCTTCTAAACAGATGATTCAAGACCTGTTAAACAAGTACAGTAAATTGTGAGTATCTTTTGAAGTGAAGAATGTTATATCACCCATGTATAGTATTGTACATTAATTTACTATGTTTTGGAACCCTGCCTGTATAGTCAATACTGAGGTGATGTATATTTGAAATGCTTCCTTCCAAATCACCCTATTCATTCAAACCTGCTTTTTCTTTTGAATGGAGGATCATTCTTTTCAATTTATTATTTATTTCAAATGCAGCATATACAGGACTGTTTTCTCAAATGGCCCTAAATTATCACCAATAAATGTCAGATTGCTTACTGTATTTCATGATGCCATATTCTTTCCATGGAAAGTTTTTTTCCTTTGAAGTTGGAATGTTGCCCCAACTGACCTTTTTAATATTGAAAAATGAAAATTTTGTTCTACCATTTTATCAAATAATCCCCATGGTCCATGCACATAATCAGGGCCATTACTAAGTTGATGCTTTGAAACTATACCCTAAGTGGTCCAGTGGCTAATTAAGTGGTCCAGAGTGCATGAAAACTTTGTTTTGAGCACAAACTTAATTATAATGAGATCTTATTTGACGGAATTCAAGTGTATTTTTTCAGGTGGCCTCAATGTATGTCTCGGAAGAGTGTGAGGAGATTCTGTGTCTTGTGGCACCCCCTCTTGATCCAGATACCAAGATCCTGAACAATGCCGCCATTCTTGCTTATCCATCATTGCGATTGAAGCAAAGGCTTTTGTTCTCAACACAATCCAGCAGCAGTCAAGCCCTCTCGGAAACCTTGACCGACATGTTTTACTCGCCACTTAGTGGGGACATAATTCTCACTGCCAATTGTCCGGATGGCTCACTTCTGTTCCTGTATTCTGGACCTGTTGATGGTGAGAAAAGTTTCTCGGATTTTGCCAAGCACAAGAACAGTTCGAATTTGCAAAGCAGTCGTCGGAGTTCAGTGTCTCTAAGGAATCCGTCTCCGGTGCCCTTTTCCTCCTTCAGTTGGTGTCGCTAATGAGGAGAGGGAATGAGCGTTGTCTTTGTGCATACTTTGGAATGATTAAAGTTGGCTCCATGCATGTATACAGTGCTTTCCAAGGTATTCCCAGAAGTGGTCCAGAGTTTTCCTCTCTCGCGATAATAGTTGTTCAATTTACTCACTGCTACCACCACACTGACTGCCCATCTTTGGGTCTGCCTGGTGGCTATTCCCCACTTGAAATTTTGAAGGAACCCATTGATAATACAACTATGGAATATGAAAAAAAGTAGTGGTGGTGCTGCCTGTCTAAGGTATGCATTTCTCAGCAAACAATCCCCTCCCCCAGAATTCGACTAATGATCTATTTGGCTAACAAACAAGCCAAGACCCTAATGTGAAGCCCTGGTTTGAATTAACAACTCCTTTTGAAGCAATATATAAATTACACAGTAGACTCAAATATGCACCTGAATTCTCCAGGAATGTCCCTGAATGATGAAGTGTTGAGTAGAAACGTACAAAAATCGGATCTTCTTCGGAGTACAGGTCGTCAAATTCTTTGACTGAGAGAGTTGAAAAGATGATGAAATTAATGAACATGCAAAATGAGGTTTGCCTGCTTATTAATCATGATGGAATTTTCAACAACCAACGGTGTGTTGCCAACTCATAATTGATCGGAATAATAGGAACCTCATTTTATACAAGAACAGAAGATAATGCTCCACTCTATACAATCATTGTAATCAGAGCTAGACACAAAACCTGGCTCTTACGTAATGGTTAAAATGGCTCTCCGATATAATCAAGATTGTCATCTTCCAGAAATTTCCTCAGGATCAAATTCCAAGTTTCAACACACAAAAAATCAAGTATTATACCGCCTATTAAATTATCTGATTAACGAAAACATTAGATTATAAAAAGGATGACCCAGTAAACAATCGTTGAAAATGCAGGGTTAGTCAATAACCGGGAAGTATCTTCCATAAGTAATAATAGGTTCCTATACAGGTACCAAGTAAGCCAAATCAGCCCATGCATTAATGCAAGCAATAGCTTGGCCGGTTATGCAAAGCTGGCCACCTGAATGATGTTCTCACTCATCCCTGTAGAATGAAGTCCGGTTTATAAACTCGGATTACTAATGCTGTCAATTTGCGTACTCTGATACTCATGAATTTCTCCACCGCTGCTGGCAAGATTATTCCGGTAATCAGGTTATACACATACTCAATATAGTACATGAAAAAAAGCCTCGGAGAAATACAACATAGATCCTGGAACCACCATTGTACCAATGCTGTCACAGTAAACAATTGTAGCCAGCGCACACTTGTCCGTAGCCTAAGCTGGGACTCTTCTGGGCATTTTCCAGGATTTCACAGTTCGCTCAAGGCTCGTTGCTCCCTGCAAGCATTATTAGTATACTGTCATTCTACTGCCATCCAAACACATTTCACTATAGAACTCGAGAGGATAGCAAGAATGAGCCTCAGGGAAAAAAATACAGGAATTTTCCCATTTTCAGCACAGAAGGAATTGTCAAATTTTTGGGAAATAATTGTAGGCCACTACAGTACAGCTCATACAATGGCAGAACCACTGGTGAAAGAGTGGCAATTTTTGTCAACCCCCAGCTTCTAGTAAGAACACTCACCCACGGCGCAAAAATCCTCCCCAAGTTCCAGTCCCTGGAAGACTAGTTAAATGACCAGCGAAACAGAAGAAAAATACCCAGTGCTCACTACCTGGCTCTCCCCATAGCTACGGCGACAAAAATCCCCCAGTATAACAAGGAAACAGCATCCTCATAGCACCTAAATGAAGCTTTAACATTTCGGATCCTGCCCCTCATTTACCCCAAGGATACAGCCCCATAAAACCTAAAAAAAAGGAACCCTTTCCTCTGGCGGTCAGAGGGGCATTCCCCCCCCCTAAATTCGGAATTTTTAATCCTTGCATACCCAGACACAGGACATCCTTTTCCCCTCCACCCTGGCAACTGGCACAGCAAGAACTCGCGTGGGACAACATTTCAGCAGAAGCGTGTCCGGCAAAATCTCGAAACAAAAAGTTGGGGGAAATCTCAAATAATTCAGTGTTTTCAGTATTTATTTTCCTATTTTCACTTCTTACATCAGATGGAACTAGAGCCAGCAACAAAATTGGCATAATTTCAAAGGAAAAAGTTGGGCAAAATTGCAAATATTTCTGTGTTAACAGTTTTTTTTTTACTACCATATTTTCCCTTGTAACATTAGAACGGACTAAAGGAATACTGTACTTCCATGAGGAGCATCATATGATGCACCCAAGCTTTCCATCCATTTGTTTGGGCCTCCTGGAACATTGCTTGGGTTAGCAGTGTAACAGCAATTGTCTTTGCCTGAGCTGGTATGCAATCAGGAGGATGGAAAAATGAGAAACTATCAAATTACATGTACTTTAATTTTGATGTGCATTGCAAAGGGTGCAGAAGAAAATCCAGTAGGAGAGAAAATCCAACATCTTGAAAATCCCCTTACAATTCTATTCATAGGATTAGTGGTGAAAAACATACCTTCAGCTAATTCTGTGAAAGTGTGACAGAAAATGGGCCAGCACTTTTTGGTCTATCCAGACAATTGAATAACAATGTTCTTCACTAACCAAGTACAGTACTTGATTCTTTGACTATACATACATATTCACGCCAAAAGGCAGAAATTGAAGTGTTTCCTTTAGTTTTTATTGTCAGTAGTGTTTTGGGACAAGACGTTCAACAATGTTGCATTACTGTGTGAAATAACTGCATTGTTTCTACTACAAATCCAAATGAAAATGGTCCATAGTCAGTCATACTTCCGCAGAATTAGCTGAAGGTATATTTTTTACCAATAAGCCTATGAATATAATTGTAAGAAATACAGAAATGAATTGGAGATATTCAAATATAGAGAAGCATACTGCTGTGAAGATTTTGCATAAGATCACCCACATTTCCCTCATTCATGAATCCTCATAATTATTTTCATGGGCTGCAGAAGACAATCCTGTGAGAGCAAAAAGTCCCTGTGCTAAAAATTTGTGCAAATCCAAAAATCCCAGAGGTACACAAATTTTGTGGAATGCAAAAATCAAATGATCAAAATTATTGTAGGAGAAAAAGAAAATTTGAATGGAACTGTTCCAGGCTTGCACTTTTGTTTCAATATATTTGATAAAGAACAAAAGAGAAGGCCGCATGAAGTTCTTTGTTCTTTTTTTATGCTGCACAGCCATGGCATAAGAGTTTACATATTAAAAGATTTTTGAAGAAAACAAAGTGTGCAGCAGTTAATGTTGGAGCTATTTTTCACATGTTACACTTGGCAATTCTGGCTCAGCTTAAGTGCTTAAGTAATCCTGAATTTCAAAAGCAGGCAGAAGGGAATCCCATTGAAGACACACACTCACAATTTGGCAATCTAAGGGATTTTCACTACCAAGGGATTTTGGAATCTTGCCAAATTTTCAAGCCATTGCCCACAAATTTAATCCCAGGGTTGGTTCACTTTATTTTCAATGCCAGGTCATTAATCATAAATCTGCAGTTTTGTCCAAGCCACAAGTGCAGCTCAATTGTCACCTGTCAAGAAATGTAAAGAATGTATGAGTATAATGGTTTGCCCTATAAAGGTGAGGTCAGGCAGGGAAGAAACCATGAAATCTTTTGAGATAACTGTGAGGTCATTCTTTTCTTGTTGCCCATTGTTTCTTGAGGAATCCACCTTTCAGCATGGTTTGGTCTTACAGATTGTGCTAGCAAACTCTTGGATGGAACGGTGGTGCCTGTTCTTGAATGATGTCCCAGACAAACCAAGAACCCAAAAAATCGCGCTGGCCTTGTCTGTGCGCGGAGCCGAGCGGCCGGCAGATGTCGCTCTGAAAGTGCCTAGCCAGACCCTCTTTTTGGGATCATCACTGCGCAAAAAAACAGCTGGAAACTAACTAGGGCTCTCATCCCCGGGAATAATTGGGTATCATCTGGTCAGTCCCCGCAAAGGTTCACAGGCAAGCTGAAGTGGGGGTGTTCATCTTGGAACCCGACATCGTCCGCTTTTCGGATCCAGCCTTCGGAATGAACAAATCAGAACTATAGCTTTGCATTAAATTTTGCAATATCCAGAAAATAAAAAAGCAGCTCGACACAAATATTTCCCAAGAACAGAACCAGGTACATATTTCGGATCAGAAACAGACGGACTCATTTCATCCCAGTCGAAGCGAAAACACTCGCCAACAACTGCAACACTCACGCGAGGACAGTCCAAAAACGCGAGTACAGTCCATGTGCTTTCGGGTATCAGAATCTAGGCTCAGAGCGAAATGCTCAAGCTGACTCTGTGGTAAGGAGACCCACGAGAATTCGGCTTTCACTACGGAATATCGGAATTGGTTCCCCGGAGCCGCGTGCACGACCTCTGCTTCAACAACGAGAGTAGCATAAAATACCCAGAAAATGCTCGCGAACCGCAGCGCTGAGCTTCCACGGCACAACGCGACAAAACGCTGAGCGAAACGTCAACGGCGGGAAATACTGTACCCACATAAAGATTCCTCAACTTTCCGAGAATACAAGAACCGAAAAAGAAAAGAATTCCGGCAGAGAACTGAAGGCCCGGGAAATTCCCAGGAGCAACTTTCTATTTCAAACGAAGAAAGTCAAAAAGGTGGCTTAGAACAGCCAGATAGCAAACAGTTGGTGGTTGACACGCGGGAAGATCCTGATGTAATTTTTCGGTAGAAGTTAAGGCTCGGGTCTCACGCCACAAGACACGACTTAGGTGAGTGAGCGTATACAGTTTGGGGAAGCCGAACTGATGCGCTCACTAGCCTTCTACCGAAAAATTAAATCAGGATGTTCCCGTGTCAACCACCAACTGATCGCTATCTGGCTGTTCTATAAGCCACCTTTTTGGCTTTCTTCGTTTGAAATAGAAGATTGCTCCTGGGAATTCCCGGGGCCTTCAGTTCTCAGCCGAAATTCTCTTCTCTTTCAGTTCCAGTAGTCTTGGAGAGTTGAGGAATCTTTCTGTGGGTATTTCCCGCCGTTAATGTTTCGCTCAGCGTTGTGTTGCATTGCGCTCCGAAAGCTCGGCCCTG